GCAAACGCTCTTTTGTAAATGATTGGCTCAGTGGGTCAAGGATCCAGCTAAGGGCTTTCAGCACCAAAATCTGGATCCTTCAAATCCCTGCCCATGTGAGCCTGAGCCAATCATCTCCAAATATGCGTAGCGCTCACGGCTCTGCGCTGTCAGAGGAAGAGGACGACGAGGGCTCCTCCGACGTGTTGGGGATGGGTTTGAAACACTTCGCGCAACGAGGTCGATCAGGCGCATGCTCGACGATGGTGTAGTCAGCCGAGCGCTGGGCGAAAGGCCAGTGACATTTGGTTCTCCACAAGTAATGCGGAATGTCATCGCTCACCCTGGCGGCGAGATGCACCTTACCCTGGCGTCCTGATTGACCACGTAACGCGTGGTTGCCGGGGTTGGGAGGGGGGCAACTGCATTGGCTGCCTCGCAGTCCAAGAAGCATTGGACCGGTTGAGATGCAAGGGAGCTGGTGGAGCGTTTTGCGTCTTCACACGCTTGCAGAAGCTGTGCCAGCTCTGCCCTCGCGGCTGCCAGTGAGGTTTGCAGTGTTGCCTCCTACGCCAATCCGTGCAACTGAGAGAGGGGAGCGTCCCTAACATATTGTTTAAAACAATCAGAGCCCCATCGTCCGAACAGTTGTATCTGCCATAGTTCGACTTGAGTGTGGGCCAGGTGAACTGCCCCCGATGCCCGTGCTGAGTGCCCGGTGAACAGACGCAGCCCCTGGGGGCTATGCGTGTCCTGCCCAAGCCGGCGCGCAATCTCTTCGAACGTATCAGCCCAGCCTGCTTTGGAAGGAGGGCCTCCGTGGAGGGCCAGAAAGACCACTTCGCTTCCGGAGGTGGAAGCGAAATGAATCTGCTGTTTCATGGCATGGATGGGGCAGAGCTTGACGTCGGCTCCGCTGGAACACGAGCACGAGTGAGTGCGTGTTGCCCTGTGGTGCCTTCCAATCGGCCTTGCTCGAGGGGAGCCGCCAATGAACCAGCTGCTCTTGTTCGGAGATGGAGATGTGTGAGACAAGCGCTGCGCTTGCTTCCTTTTCACGTAGGAGCCACCATGATGCCAAGACCGTGGATCGGCCCGGCCACAGTGGGCCCTCAGCGCACAACGGGCTTTCGCCCAAGTTGAGCGCCGCAACCTGATCCAATGGGAGGGGTTGTGCCTGTTTGGCAGGCCCCCTGCCCGTTGGCAGGCTCTTTTCGCGCGTCTGTACGCGAGAGCGAGCTGGTCTGACCATGGACGCCCGTTCGCAATGTGTTGCTGTTTGGCTGTATCCACGTACAGCTCTGCAGAACGGTAACCTGCCCGGTCCAGCGCTCCCATGACACCGTACAGGAGCTGGGGTGTGAGGAGGAATGGGTTCTGGTGACCCATAGCCTGCCCCAACGTTGTTTATGTCTTCAGGCGAGACGCGTGAGGTCCCGCAGCAGTGGTGGCCCTAGCTTTGTCAGCGGTACGCTGTATGCAGCCTGCTGCATCCGTTTGGATATGCGACAGGGCAAGCTGAAGCGACCCCCTTGAGTATGGCTTTGACTCGGGCGCCGTCGGCTCTGTGCACCGCGCCAGCTTGGCATCCGGTTGCCCTCCAACCGCCGGCCGCGGTCCCAGGCCTCGCTTCATTTTGAGCCCTGCTTTGCGTGACAGAGAGTGTGTCAACCAAACACCCGAACCGTCCCTCCCAACCCAACAGAACAGTCACGACCTTTACGTTTTTCACTCCGGGAGAGTCCAAAAACTACGGTCAATGAACACGAGCGTTCTGCTTGCGCCTTGTAGGCGCTCGGTGGGAAAAACGGAAGGAAGGGGGTCATGCTGTCTGCTCACAGCGTCGGCAATCACATTGACTTTGGTGTTGATGTGTTCCAGGATGGTTACTTCGTATTTCCCCATGGTTGATCCAAGGCAATATTTCCCTGGCCACGACGCTAAGTTCAGTGGATGACGCTCTGCCCTTTGCAAGCAAGAAGAGAGCACCCACGTTGTCGGCTTTGACCCTGACCACAGACCCAATAGGGAACTTGGTTAGCCAAAGCCTGGCGGCCAATAGCAGGCGCAGAGATTCCCACAGGGCCATGAACTTGGGAAGACCTGGTGTGGCCTTGGTCCTTCGAATGAACTCGAACGGGATCGGGCAAGAGAAAAATTCCTTGGGTTCCCCATGAACGAACAGCACACCACCAAGGCCCCACGTGGACGACAACGATGGCCCCGGAGTTCGTCCGGATGGCTCGAAACACTCTGACAAACGGCGCTTTCTTTTCGCCCAGCAGTGCCAAGATCCAGTTCAGGGAATGGGCAATGCGCTTCGTGTGCACGAGGTTTCCGGTCCGCTTGGGACCGTCATTAGCTGTGCACAACGTAGCCCACAACCCTCCGAGGAACGGATGCATTAGCGGCACTACGCCAGCCACGAAAGAGAGTGCACCCGCCAGAGACCGAAGTTGCTTCTTTCCTACGACCGGCTTGCTGAGGATTTGTTTGATGCGCTCTGTGTACTCTGTGACTTTATCTTCGGGGATGGAGACTATCGCCGTTTTGTCTTCTTCGCGAGCTTCAATGGTTGCTCCTATCCACTTTACCTTTGACCCTGCGTCAGACTTCTCGAGTTTCAGGGGAAAACCTGTTACGGCAGTCCACAAGAGGATCCTGCTTAGCCTCCCAATATGCCGCGGGTCTCGTGTGTCGAAGACGAAGATCGGGTCGTCGACGAAGACCTGACACGTCACTTCGGGGCATACTGCGGCCAGGGTGCGACGTAGCCAAGCAGCATATCTGCCCCACAAAGTGGTGAGGACACCGACCCGAAGACCAACACGTCGTAGACGACTACCTTTTGGTGGCCGTTCATTGGCACTATGGCTGCCGTGAAGGCTTTGTCCGTCCCTGCCGGAATGTTGTGGAAGGCGTCCCGGATGTCTACTGCCAGGAAGGCTGGGGTTCCCCCCCTCCTGAAGACTTCTAGGGCATTCGCTACCACATCCGAGAACGGGGGGAGAACTGTACGTTCTTCATGTTGGTCGCAAAGCCTGTTGATGCCACTTTCTCTCGTGTCCCAGATGATGCAGGCCTTCCTCTGGCCTGGCTTCTCTTTAACTATGACTCCCAGCTTGTTGAGGATAGGCTCTGTTCCGAGCTCACTCCTTGCTTGGTCTACAGAGTCGTATATGGAGACAAAGCCTTTCTCCTTGGCGTCCGCGATCAAAGAGACGAGGTCGGTGGTGTTCTCGTCCGCTGACGGGTGGTTGACCACGCCTCGACGGATCGGGCCAGAGCATTGGCTGCTTCGTCCGACCACGTCTTGGTTTCAACCTTGGGACTGACGATCTTCTCCTTGAATCCTAAGGGTGCCCCAACTCTCAACCAGCTTGCGTCATCTGTGGCCCAACCCCACGCCCCCAGCAGTTCTGCCGAGAGTGGCGTGTTGGCTTTCGCTGACTTGGGAGGAAGCTTCATTCTTTGTGGGAGAGTACACTAACTATCAACTCACGAAGCTTGCAGACCAAAGGGTTGGGAACCTGTTCAACCGACCCCCCTTTGAGAAGAGCTTGAACCGAACGAACGAGGTTGGAGTTGTTGGCCGCGGCGTCCAACAATTGCAGGCGTTTCACCTGGTTAACTTTCCACAGGTCCAACTTCGTTCTATGGTCTGGGTTTTCCAGTGCATCCGTGGTGAGGACAACCAACCAGGCCGTTGGCCCGGCGGAGTTGTTGGGCCTCTTCCTTCGATAGGAGCCCCTCGTTCAGCCCCATCGGCTGTTCCAAGGATCTCAACGGTCTTGGTCCCGGAGGGTTCTCCCTGAGAGGGGAGAAGGTCTCACAGGGTGTTGCCGCACCGACCACGTCGAAGGTCTTGTCGATGATGTCCTTCCGGATCGCCTTGGCGACTTCCTCCTTCAAGAGATCCGTTGGGTGTGGCCCTACCAAGTCAACCACCACCACGATCCATCCAAGTTCGTGGAGGTAGGACGCCAGGTCCCCGTCCCTCGGGCGTCCGCTGAACAGCAATAGGGCCCTCGGTTGGTTCTGCCACAGCTCGGGCATGACGTTGGTGGACCCGTACTTGTAGGGGCAGAACACAGGCGACTTCGGCAGCGTCTTGTCGCCCCCCGGGCCTTGGCTGACTCGGGGCCGGAGGCTCCTGGTTCTTCTCTGGCTCTGCAGGCTCCTTTTCTTGGGCTTCTGACTGGCTGGTGTCGTAGGCGGCGGAATAGTAGGAGCTGCTGTCGTCCTTGGCGGGCTCCGGTGGAGGTCTCCGTTTCAAGGGCGTCCGTGACCTGCTGCGGGCTTGCCCCCTTCCGGTTTCCCTCCCCGCTGGTGGACCCTCTGGAAATTTGGGCCTGTCAAGGCGTGGTGCTTTGTTCTTGCCCCCTGACTTGCCCGGGTCGACCGGCCGCCCTTTTCTTTCCCTTCAGCTGTCCGGTCTTTGCCTTGCCTTTGGATCCCCCTTTGCTGGCCTTGGAGTGCTGGGATGACTTGTCAGCTTGACTGTTCGAGTCGCGTCAGTTCTGCTTACCCTTGCACTCCTGACCCGTGTGGGGTCCTAGGCACAGATTGCACTGGTGTGACCGGGATGCTGGGCACTTCGATTGTGGTTTGCCATTTCCACAAGCTCCTTTGTTGAACCTGACGCAAATCTCGAAGCCCTTTCTGTTCTTGGTGAACACGCCGTTCTCCTTGACGCTCAAGTCCTCTCCTCGGTACTTCTTGGCGCTCGGCTTCTTCTTCCTCGTGGATCGCCTCTTCGCCGTCCTGGATGGGCCTGGTCCGTCTCCGTCTGAGGAGGATGAGTCTTTGTCAAGGAGCTGGCGGTGCTTAGCCAACAAGAGTGTGGCTGGGGTCGTGAATTCTTTTGCCCAATACTCAGCCTCTCTGATGGCTTGGGCAAACACTGCTGACCAAGCGCCGACGTGAAGCCGTGCCTCGGCTGTTCGTGCAGGTTGCGGCGAATCCTGTCAAAGAACTCACTCCGCATCCGTACCTCCGCCCGGTACAGTGTGCCCCATGCTGCTTCACCAAACTGAGCTGGTGGTTGAGATCCTTCACGAACTCCAAGTACTCCTCCAGTCGCTCGCTCTCGGCGGCCTCCAGGAGTAGCATTGCCACCTTGAACGTCTTGAAGGATTTCTCCCAGGACGTGGCCTTGGCATTTCTTTCTTCGACCATTCTCCGGTCGCCGAGTTGAGTATGTAGCTCGTGAACACCGATTTTCTCAAGGTCCGAAGAGCATGAGGTCGCCAGACTGAGAAGTCGGCGTACGCCGCTGCCCCTGCCTGAATCAGCTGGCGCAAGGCGCTGATCTGGTCCGGCGTTGGCTCGACCTCCGGTGATGGGTGGTCACCAAACCTGTTCTTGTACCTGGTATACATCTCCGTGATCTCCGTTGGGGACAGCTGCTGGACCTCTGCATCCAACGTTGGGTCGATCACAGAGGAAAGCTTGAGCTTCCTGGTTGGTGATGCCGGTGTCAGGCTTGCGCCTCCGGCTGCTAGGCTTCCGCCTGCCGGGGGCAATGGCGGGGCTCCAATCCGCGCAGTCGGGATCGAGGTATCGCCAGGCACGTCTGGCCTGATCCCTAGCCTAAGCAACACCACACGGCGGAACACTTCAAGCCTTGCATTCTCGACGGGTGTGAGCTCCCTGACTCCGGGACCCGGAGAGCCGTCACTGCTCTGTCCCACGCCGGACGGGCCACGAATGCGATGTCTCGCAACTTCGAAGGGTCCCCCAGCGACTGGTCGTGGACCTCCCCCTTTGTGCCTGCCCAATCACTGACTTGAGCCGTCGGATCCATTTGGCCTTGGGGGTATTACCGGCCCTTCTGAGAGGGGCTGAAGTCCCGTCCTGGTGCGAGCCTTGGGGCCCGGTGTGGCCAACCGCCTCCTCCTCAATGAAGTAGGTTTGGAACCCTCGGTGTTCCGTAGGCTGTATTGCCTGTAGTTTGAGAAGGCAGTGCCCACCAAGCGACGCTTCTGGATGAAGCGTACAGCCCGAGAGGCCAGCCTTTCTCAGGCTGATGCCCGTCGCCGGACTAGCCCTTTCCAGCACTCCCTCACCCACGACCCAGCTCTGCGCAGGTGCCACCCAACGATGACCCCCGCACAGAAAGCAGTGGCGAGCAAGGCTCGGAGCAGCCACCAGCCGTCGGCCCTCGGCGTAACCGAACGGGCTAACGGCCAGTGTCCGCTCTCTGCCAGGCACTCCCCACTTGGACACTGGGCCATACAAATGAGGGAGCCTCTGTCAAAGGCCTTGAGCCAAAATGACAGGAGGTTCCCACCCATCAGCCCCTTGAAGCTATCTAGATTGTTACTAACACAACACGTTGTTACACACCACAACATTATACAACTTCTGAAGTAGTGGTACCAGGAGTCCGAAGTGTGGGCATGGGCTGGTTGGGATTGTCCTGAGATGGTGGGATGTTCTCACATTGGAGTCAGACCCATAGTGCAGTCACCAAGGCACGCCAGTCAAAGGAATCCGGGATCATGACAGGGCCCTTGCTGGCCGTGTCCTTTTCCTTCATGGCCTCTGTCCCAGTCTTGGTGCGGTCCTTCCTGCCAAAACAGGCACAGGAGCACCCGACCGCGGCGAAGAAGAAAGGAGAATTGGCCGAGTGCTCTCCCGACGGACGTGCTCTCCCGACGGAGTGCTCAAGCGCCGACTTTCACTCGTCTCGATGCCTTGAGACATCGAGAGACTTCGAGAAAGTCATGTTCAAGAACACCTGTTTCTGTTCCTCTTGAGCAAGCAAAGATTCTCTCCTCAATCCCCTCATTGCTTTCAGCTCCTGCGGAAAGTAGTCAGAGAATTCCTGATTCACAGCGCAAATGCATCCAGCCATAGGTCTGCTATGGTCTGAGTGGCTTGTGGCACCAGTCCATTCGTTGTAAAGGGAGACACTTGAAAATGGACAATGACCCTGAGCAATCATGGAGAAGGTTCATCAATTGTGAGACAACTACTTTCAGAGTTCTTCTTGTTCAACTGCTACTTGGGGTCATCTTCAGCCAACACCCCTGAAATTGTCGGAAGACGGAAACTTCAACTAAACGATGAATGCGTGAAGCACTATGCCGTGCACCTTTGTATTTTGGGCCGTGATCATGAGATTGAAAGAATGTGATGTCAACATGTGGACTGAAACAATGTTCATGCAAGTGCAAATTAATGGATCCATTAACTGAAACAACCAGTAGCCTCAGCTAGATTCTAAATCAATGAAATGGAAGAACTCGTGTTGAAGGAAACATACTCCCCACCAGCCAACAGGAGCATGTCCAAAATCACCTCTTTGTCATCAATATGTAGCAAACCTCCAACAGATAGAAAAAGCACGTCCCTTTGCAGTATGACGACCGGATCGACTTGCGCACTTCGACTGACGCACCGGATCCCTTTCGATCCCCCATCCCCGCCAAGCTTCATTGATCCCCAGCTTCCAACTGAACTTCCCGGCATTGTGTTCGCGCACCTCTTTCAAAGAGGTCTCAAAGGCCTGCTTGCGCTTCTGGAGCTCCTAGCAACGGCTTTCTTGAGCTCCCTGTGCCTGAATTTCCCTGGTGTGACCTCAAAACAGTGCGAAGAGTCGTGTTGTTTGATAAACTTGTTCTGGATGTCGTCGGATCCACTGTGGGTTGATCATCACTCCACTCGCACTGTTGTTGCTTGATGACCCTGTCCATATAAGCTCTAGCGTCCACCAACACCAACCTCAAATACCCTCAAATCTGTACAGCGAAACCGAAGACAAAAAACTATCTAACATCTTCTGCCAAATCTATGAACATCTCTGAAGAGTAGGATTCGACATGGCCCATGCTGGCCCAATGTGTTGCGAATTGGTGCGGGATTTGTATGAGAGTCCACCTAGGTGCATTGAGCTTGTGGAGTTTTCCAGTCCTCCTTGTCAGGGTAGGACTTCTGGAACTGCTTCATGTACTCTTCAAAAGAGTAATCATTGGGAGGATCCTGCACAGCGCAAGTTCAGCTGGCCCTGGCACTTCAAGCACCAGGAGTGGTTTCAAATCATATGGAATCAGACTAGGAAGAATTGTGGACAGGTCATCTGCGTAACGCAAATCCGCCGACCCCACTCGTGGGGTCAGGGCGTGACTGTTGATGTTAGCCTTAGCCTTAAGCCTTAGCCTTAGCCTTAGGCCCTAGCCTTAGACCTAGTCCTTAGCCTTAGACCTAGACCTTAGACCTTACCTCCCCTACCCCTCCGGACCCTTGTTACAGTGACGAAATCCCGCCCGGAAAGCGACCTGAGCGACCCGGGAATTGTCCAAGACTCTGCCATCCCCAATTGATTTACATCTTGGGGCACCCTCTCGACCCGCGCGGGAAAATAAGCACGGTCCAAAATGGTCCTGGGCTCGAATCCCGGGCTGGTCGCGGCATGGTCCCGGCCAATGCCCTTGTTTTTTTCGTAGATTTTGTCACGTTTTCTGTTGGTTTATGAGATTTTCAAAGGCTTTTCTGGCATTTTCCTAGGAATGCTCTAGGCTTTGTCTTGATTTTGTTATGTTTTCGGCTGGAGGCTTTTCCAAGAATTTTCTAGCGCTTCCTCTTGTTTTTAGGTTCCCAGATTTTACCCAAAAATTGGTAACCTTTTGCTAACCTATGGAACTTTCAAAGGCTTTTCTAGCATTTTCCTAGGAATGCTCTAGGCTTTGTCTAAATTTTGTTATGTTTCCGGCTGAATGCTTTTCCAAGAATTCGCTTCCCAGATTTACCCCAAAAATTAGTAACCTTCTGGTCCAGGCCAATGCCCTAGTTTTTTTCGTAGGTTTTGTCACGTTTTCTGTTGGTTTATGAGATTTTCAAAGGCTTTTCTGGCATTTTCCTAGGAATGCTCTAGGCTTTGTCTAGATTGTGTTATGTTTTCGGCTGGAGGCTTTTCCAAGAATTTTCTAGCGCTTCCTCTGGTTTTTAGGTTCCCAGATTTCACCAAAAAATTGGTAACCTTTTGCTAACCTATGGAACTTTCAAAGGCTTTTCTAGCGTTTTCTTAGGAATGCTCGATCGATTCAGCCCAAGTCCGGGCGCCGATACTTGTGGCACTTGAATGTACCCTAGACCGATGGTAAATCTGGGAGGTACCCCAAAAGTCGACTTTTTGGGTACCTGCTTTGGTGGTGATGGGTTGGGTCACCGGGAGAAACCGATCGATTCAGCACAAGTCCGGGCGCCAATACTTGTGGCACTTGAATGTATCCTAGACCAT